ACCAGCAAGCAAAGCCAAAAAGGCAGCTGGGTTTTTTCTATAGGTCCCTACGTGACACAATTAAAAAAATAAATAGAAAGCAAGCCCGCAGTGACTGCATCTCCACCCACCACCAAGCATTATGTATTGAAAGCGAAATTTAATAAAAAGCTTTTTTAGCCAGGTAAATGCATGAGCATGTTGCATGACTGGCCAGCAGGGGGCGACACAGTCCTTTTACTTCACACAGGATTAAATTTGTTCTCGGTTAAAAGTCAGTAGTGGAAAATTGGAATTTTTTCATGGAAAATTACTCTAATTAAAACTAGGAATTTCACATAAATAGTTGAATGGAATGTTTTTATGGGTAAAGAGATGAAAGAGCTTGACATTTATTAAAATTTTGTAAATTTATCTTAAGTTAAATTAATTTGAAGTTTTCTTAACTGCTTCTTTATCTTTAATTAATTTATTCATCAACCAAAAAGAAACGAAATAAGTCTCTGATAATACTGCTTTGCATTTTGAAGGTCTATATCACGTATTATATTTTTTATTTATTTTTTTTTGGTTTTTGTTTTGATAAACTGTGAATCACGTTCTTTAACTTAAATATATATATCAACAGTATTATTATTATCTTCATTGTTTATACATATCTATAAATCTGTTAGTCATTGACTTAATATGGTTTCAGGGTTTTCCTAGTCTCGAATCATTTCAGTTAGCTGATCAAGTAGCTGACCGCGTCTTATTAACGCATTTTACAAGTGTCAAGCGGCATTTGTCAGTGGGTCGCATTCGTTCATTGACAAATTAGCTTACAAGAATGTTAATTTATTCGTAAGAAACGGGCATCGGTGTCGTGTCAACGTTTCCAGCGGAAATATCAGTTATTGTTAATGATAATAACGTAAGTGAACTGCTCAATTTATTAAAATCTCCCAAGCCTTTGGAATAACACTGAATCAGCAGCTTTGAATTGACTTAATGTGCCTGGAGATCGTCGTCGGCTAATTAATAGCGGCAAATTTAATCTGTTCCAAGTTGGTTTCTGACTCGATTTACTCCCTCGCTGTTCCTGTTGTTTTTTTTTTCATACTGATTATCGCTCATATGGAGTTGGCATTAAAAAATTATACGATCCAATCTGACTGCTACTATACGAGTATATACTTATGACTGTTACCGCTTGGCGCATTCAACTGGCGCTCCAAAGAATTGTCATAAGCCTATTAAGTGGCTGATTGTTTTTGTCAGAAACTTGGGGTTGCCCTTCCCAGTCTTGAGTGTGCCATAAAAGTGATTCCACCGATCAGAGAGGGTTGCATTTCAAACTTGGAACTGGCTCTCCTACCAGGAAGCCATAAAACAATCAACGAAAATGCCCAGAATGACTTCCATCAGCTGCAAACTGCGTTAATTGCATTCCGAAAATTGAGGAATTTGATGAATATTAAGGAATTTTGGTGCGACGTCTCACAAGGGATCAATTTAAAATGAGTAATAAAACATATAACTGCATTGTGTAAATTGCCTTAAATGGCGTCATAAATAAGATCTGTGCATTGCTGCAGGGATTCAGAAGAATAAGTATTTCCCATTCCCTACAGGAAATATTACAAATTTCAAGCTCAACTTATCAAGAGCATTTCCAAAGGAAATGGGTTTTTTAAACTTTAAATAAGTAAGTAGTAATCTGTAAAAAAAAATCTGATGACATATAAAATGTCCGAAAATAGAATTTGTTAAAGACAATATATAGTATATTATCTCAGCTGCCAGTATTTGGAAACATTCAGGAAAAGTGTTTGGATTTGTAGAGAGATATTTTCAAGAGATATTTCTTCGAATTCGACATGAATCATGCATATGCCGTGATCATTTTCATTTCCCATAAAGAACAGGAAACACCTGTTCTTGTCGCTGACCAAATTTCTTTGTGCTTTCTTTCTTCTGTGCTGAATTCATTAGAAAACTACCCCTTGAGTGGCAGAAAGACCTCGGCCACAAATAGCAATTACAAATACAAACACGAAAGTTGAAAGTCCCTAAAGTCTGCGGATGACAACGCTTCCTTCTGCTATTTCCCATAGTTGTACCAATTAGAATTTTGCGAAAACTTGCAACAGTTTGTTAGGGCTCTAGCTCTCTCTTTCTAACTGCCTTCCATTTTGTCACTGTCCCTGTCTTTGTCCCGGTCTCAGTGTCAGTGGCAGTGGAAACATATATACGTATATATCTCGACTGGCCCTTCTCCTTCAGACAGATATATTCACATCTATATATACGCTAGTGCGTGGCGACATGCAAATGTGTGTGGTTGTGCGCGTGCAGATAAGTTAACTTCACTTCACTTTCTATGTGTGTTTGTATATTTTCCGGACTACTTCCGCTGGGGCATGCAACCGCAGTGCAGTCCAGTGCCGTGACCCTGCCACCCGCCATCCCTACTCTGTCCTTTCTCCTATCAAAAAGTTCCACCCCCTTAAGCCCCCTAAGAATAAAACCATTACACTGAAACAAAACAAAATATTTCTTAATTTCGAGTTTTATTTTAATCGAAAAAAGTATAGCCTACTTTTTGGCACTCAACGCATGAGTTTTAAGAAACAACAATTTCCAGGATTTCACTCCGATAAACAACCAATTCTTTTCTACTTTTTCTCTCCGTGTAAAGAATCTTGCTCTCCGTCTTGGCTCCATTTTCATCATTTATTTGATTACACGCCACTCATAAGCGTGAGTGCGTGAGTGTATGCGAACAATCCGATGAGTGTGCGTGAGTGTGTGTGTAAGAGTGCGTTTTTTGAACCGACTTCATGGCATCGCCTAGCTGGCGACACTCAGTCGAACTCAACCCAACAAAACTCAACTCAACTCGTCGACATCCCAACTCGGTTCGCCTCAGTTTCTCAGTTCTTTTCTTTTCAGTTCCGCTCATATCACAGCTATATATAGTGCTCCATATATGCATTTGCCATATACCTATATCTATATCTATATGGCATATGTTCGCCACGCTCATCCGACGGCCAGCTGAAGAGCAGCGACATCCATCGCATTCGATATATCCTTACTAAATAAACAATATGCGGGCTCTGTGACGACCTCGACCTAAACACCCTTTCAGGGATTTAATGCACTTTCTATTAAATAACTAACGGGATATCTCTGTCTAGCCTCTTATAATAAATATTTTTTATAATTTTTGTATTATTTCCAAATATTAGAATGCATATTGATTTTACAATTAATAGAGCCAATCATAACCATGAGTAAAATGGGATGTCAGGTCACCATATTAAGTGATTATAATCAAATAATTTTAAATCAAATTTAAATTTAAATATTAAATATATCTGTCAAAACAGCTTTGTTTATTCTTCATTAAAACATCATGAAGTTCGAAGGAATTCCCTATAATCTTCAATGCCTTGAAGCTGTGGAACAGGGCTTATCTGCGTCCTACTTCGCTCAATCTTTCATATTTTCTCCGAACGTTTCCGACCCTTCAATTACGGCTTTCGCACTTTAATAAACGCCAAGATTCGGGCCAGCCACATGAGCAAAACCGACTGAATGGCTGCCTGAATCGACCATTCAGCTGGGCGGAGTACATAAATAGTTCATCCTGGCCGCCTCGCATGTCTGGCGCTGCTGAGTCAGTGGCACGGGTTCAATGTCCTGACGCGCCTTTAAGAATGCCACGGCGACTCCTTGGCACACAAACAACAAAAAGGAAAACAAAAACAAAAGGCAGTGTAATAATGTGTAAATTGCTCATATTTTGTTATTCTGATTAAAAAGGCGCCCGTGCTCATTAACAGCAAGAGCAATCCGCAAGCAAATGTCCTAGTGGCGATGACTTCACATAGGCGGTGTAGCAAGGGGTTACGCAGACCCACAAATGCATTAAGATCCATGAGATGCATGGCCCCGAAACAATAAGCATGCATTGTGCACTGCAAGCTGCAGTGGCCAAGCCCGAGACTACTGGGGGCCCCCATCTTGCGGCGTCTGGATGCACGTAAGTACAGTGCGTAACGAATGGTTAAAACTGTCCTCTTTTAGGCTTTGTTCCTTCTTGAACTACCCTTCCTTTTCCTTAATGAACTCTGTAATTCTTGACCACTCCGCTTACTTTCTAATCATCTTTCTTACCATCTTATTTTATTTCTATTATAACTTTTAAGTCATAAATATATTTCAGATTATAAAATTATCTATTACAGCTATGACTCGTGCTGTCTATGCATATGTAGACCATTTTGGGATTTTGGGGTCATAGGCATGAGCAGCCACAGCAGCATCTGCATCGAGGAGTTGTGGAGAGGGGTATTATAGGCCTTCAGATCCGCCTTATCTCGATGCAAGACCCCGCCCCTCGACTTAATGTCTGCTCCCGTATACGAAGATACTGGTTGGGTATCTGAGACTGCAGTGGCCACTGTAATGAGTCTGCTTCTTTTGAATGCTGATTTAATTCTCAGATGTTTACCTCTGACCCTTTTTGCTCTTTTTCTTTACCTTATTTGTGATATAAATGTTACATTTTTCGCTTCCATATTTATAAGGCTCAATTATTTATGTCACAGTAGCAATTATTGCTCTTATAGATTTTATTGCAAACATTTGCCGGCTGAATTCAACCACTCAACTGGCTCTAGGGGCTCAAAAGTTAATAATTGATGCAGTTTTATTGAAATGGGCAATCGTGTCAAACAGTGTTTAAGCATTTATCATCAGTTATGCATTGATTGATTATATTTGTGTGTTGTTTAAGTGAATACTTGATTGTGGTAGTGTGAGAGTGTTCTTTGAACTTTCATAATTTGGAATATCAAGTGATTTACAGTAGCTAGAGAGATATGGTTGAATGTGAAGAAAAAACAAATTTAAAAAAGTTCTTTTCTGATTAGAATAACATTTAATCACAAAATATAACCAAATGCTTAAATATTCAGAAATGGATAACTCTTTTAAGTTACTCATAATAACATACGATAAAGTAAACTCACCATTATATCCTCAGATATAGCATTCTTGGATTTAGCTGACTTTTGATTCTGTACGTCCAGCAGCTCAACGTTGGGTGAAGTTCTTTGGTGTGGGAGGGTCAGATCCTGGATGCACGAGACTGCCGCAACGAGTGCGAGCAGAACAACGATGACACATGTGGAACACATTTCTTTAGCTTTTCTTAACACTTTTTTATTATTTTTAGAACCGATTTAAAGAACACTTTGACACTATTCTTCTCTCGTATTAAAACTATTTATCTTTATTTTTTCGAGGCTTATTTAAATGATGAGCTGAACTAACAATTCGTAATGGTAAACTGGGAATTGAACTTTTCACTTTTATTTTAGTTTCGTTGTTGTCTTTTTGTCCGCGGGGGTTGACACAGACACACATGCGCATTGGCTACACACACGCACACAAATAGCCGGCAGCATAAAAAAAAAACAGCTGCAGCAGCAACAAAAACAATGCAAGGAGGTGGGGCGGCGTTGTGGGTGGGGGCTACCGTTGTTCTGTTTTGTGCTTCTTGTTCTGTGTTTGCTGGTTTTGTTGTGGCCACTGCTTCTTTCCTTGGTTTGCCTTGCTTTTCTCTCTCTCTGTCGCTCTTTCCTTTTTCGCCCTTTTTCCGCCCTTTTACATATGACGCATAAATGGGGAATCAAGGAGCAGGGGGGCCTTGTATTGGGTTGAACTGGAATTTGAATTCAATATCGAATGCACATTTAGCCACTGGGCCACAGAAATCACACGATTTAATTAGCACGCAGTGCCTGGCACAAAGGAAAGGCTTTTTCCTTGTTCTACCGTTTTTTATTATATTCCCGATACAAACGATTCCCGATTCCCGATTCCCGTTGCCCGTTAACCGTTACCCAGCTTTGTTCGCTCCACAAAAGAAACGTGGAGGAGAAGTGGGCGGTCTGTACTCTTTATTCGCGTTTTTCGTGTTAGCATAAATCTCGATGGTTTCTTTTTCTTCTTTTTTTTACATTTACTTATTTCTGTTTTGTTTCGAACTGAAAAATTTCGTTAAACCGCCGAGTAGCGGGCTTACCGCGCGGATGTTTAACAGCGACTGTTGACTGGACTGGCTGCGGCGTGTAGCGACTTGCGACGAAGAACACAGCGAGCGCTTCTCAACACTTATGCTCAACAAGCGGAAAAGAGCGCAAGAGAACGCGATCGTACACAGAAAAGAAATATTTAAAATGATGATCAGTTGGAGGAACAATATGAACGTTAATATGGATGGAACTATAATGAACTCCAACTTCCCAAGCCGACTATAGACTTAAGAATAATATTTTAAATATAAAAATAATATATTTATGAGAAAAGCACAAAATTATCGTATAGCAATTATCATTACCAGAGAAAAAAAATATCTCAGTGCCAAAACCCAAACTACAAAAAACATTCTCGGAAATATATATTAGATAAGTCAGTAATATTTTTTTTTTAAAATTCCTTATGACTAACAACGAAAAATAGTGCATATACATATTTTAAAACGTAGAAGAATAACCGAAAACAAGAATGTGGTGCAATTTCAGTTTAACCTAAAAAAAACGACAATATGATAAAAATTATACAAGATATATGTTTTTATACATTTTCAAGGTTAAAATTGATGTCGAACCACTGGACATTCCTTTCTGTGTATTTCTAAGAGAGCTCAATACTGATCGTTGGAGGTGTCCGCTCTTAGGTAGTCAGTCCAACTTCTCTTTTCTTGTCTGCCAAAAAGTGTCAGTCCTAACACGTTTTTGCTAAGTTTGGAGGCACTTATTGCACAATAAACACAAAAAGATGTTGTATAATACTGATTGATGGGTCAGTTCTTTAAAAAAGAAAATAATAATTGGGTTATAGAAATAGGCGAGGGATCCATCGGTGTTGGAACTTTATTAATGGGTTAGTGTAGTAAAATATGAAATAGATTTGGTGATTTTCTTGACTTTTATTCATTATCTTTCAGACCGTATTTCATTGACCGAACTGGTTGTATTTTTGAATGAGCGGGTAATCATTTTACGCACGAATATTGACTGTTGGCTGATTAGTCATTCAGATACTATATCTTCATCGTATCACAGCCTTTTGGGAATCCCAAAAAGTCATTGATAATTATTAAGCTGGAATTACCTTGATACAAAGATGATTTGATGTTTTCTGTAATTATTATGATCAATTTCCATTTAAATTCAATTTATTTTCTCTTTATCATAACCAATCAGGTCCATTGATGACTAGAAGGAAAGTCATAAAAATATACGTGTCGCATGTGCGTGGATCGAACATGAAATTTCTATATGTTCATAAAAAAGTGGTCGAAAGCTGGCATATTAAAATAAAAGAAGAGAAAGAAAAGGAGAATTTCCATAGAACCCTTCTTAAATAATAAATACAAAAACTTAATATATAAAATACCTTTCAGATTTGGATTACATATCTAATCCGTGATCTTATTATGGCGTACAGCACTGTACTCGCAGAATATCCGAAACAAACTTGCCGGCAATTTCTGAACTTAGGCAGAGGTCTTGGGTTCAAATGATAATTGAACACGAAATTGAATGAATGCAAAACCGATTCTGGTCTGCAGTTGACCCAAATAAAGAACAAATGACGAACCTTTCAGTGACACATGGTCAAGCCCTCAACATGTGCGTTATTTTGAGTGCTTACAGTATCAATATTTTTGTCTTATCAAAGATATTACTTATTACTCAATGGAAGTAACGTAGGTTTCGGTGGAAGTTGTCCGTGTATCATTACGTAATCTATATATATATACATATGTACTTGAGTTACCATGGTCAGGATCGAGAAATCGGTTATGTGCCACTTCCTCCGGATGGGAAAAAGACGATAATAGAAGTCGACGACAGCATAAGAAAGGTTAGTAACTCTCTAATGAGTCACTGACTTAGTTGGAGACTATCTTTCTTGTTTATTGCCTTTCTCCGCAACTGCTGATAACAGTATCTGCAGCTTATGCTTTAGCAGTTTCCATCAGCGTGTACAATGCTGTATTATTTGTGTGGGCTGTGGCTGATATGGGGAAACTTATTTATTTATATGCGTGTCTGCCAATAGCTGATGTTCCACTCAACAATTTTTGATTTAATTGTGGTTTAGAAATTAAAAAGGTGTTTATTTATGAAACATCAACAAAGATATTTATACTTGGACGTCCAAATTTAAAATATAACACAAAAGTAATCAATAGTATCTCGAAACTTGGTTACTTAATTTCAAAAATTAACACTTTGTAATATGTGCTTTAATTTTTTCAATGTATTTAGGGGACATCGTTTCCATATTGCCCCCACAATGACTCAATTTGAGGTGTATGTTCGGCCGGTCTAAAATGGAAGTGCGCCGCCACACATGACATGAGACATGAGATTTACATACTACCATTTCCCAAGCGTGCGAAATCGAACACGTTCTTCCACAGGCAGGAAATCAAAGCAATTACTAATTGTGTTTTACACACAGCCCCAAAACTTTCTCAATACATGTGACGCATGCCCGAATGCGTCTTATGGCCAAATGGGCAGGAAATGCCAGACCAATTGACCTTCCCCCACCACCACCCACAGGCAGGCAGATGTATCTGTATCCGAGTAATTAATTAAAATATGCATCCAATGCACTCGTGTCTTTCCCTGCTTTCCCTGGACTTGTCCATTGCTCTCGTCTCGCCTTGATGTGTCCATCTAGTGGGAATGTGCCATCCAGTGATTTCCATTTAACAGGTTCATTAATCACATTCGGAGGAGTTTGGCTCATTATCGCTTAAAAACTGTCACATGGCCAACCATCAATATATATAATTTTTTATGAATTCACTCGCTCAATGGCAAGAGAAAATAAACAATTAATATGGAAACAAGTACACATTCGAATTCCACATCCGATTTGCATGAGAAATGCGACGACCTGTCAACTGAAAAATTCAAAAAATGGTATACACCGCACATTTTGCCAACAGGTTGTGGGTCGGTAAAACAAAAGATTTTAAATTATTTTGCAAACGTCGAACGAAATTTGTATGCCCTACCCTGAAGTCCAAAAGTAGGGAGATCAAACATGGAGCTTTAAACACGATCAGCAGTCCAGATAAGCCTGAAATTCGATTTAAAATTTACGAGGCTTTCATTCTTTTTCACACCTAAAAGCGGCTTCATGGGTGAGAGCTTCCCAAAAAATTATAAAATATAAAAGAACTCCCTGGTGGCCCTCTTTTTCCAATGAGTCAACAGTCTCAGGCCGTTGTGGCGCTAGTCGGATGATCATTTGCACAAGGCTGACGCACACGAAAAAATACCGAGATTTATATCTATGGGCTCATCCCAGCGAATCACGCAGAATTCCACAGAGTAACAAAGAAAGTATTCAATGCGTAAATTTTACTGACTTATCCAATCGAGAATTTTTTTAGCGCAATTTTGAAATTTTCGCATTAGTGTCTATTTTTTATTGACTAAGAATTAAAGATTTAGCGCAGGGCCGGAAACATAATACTATCTAGAATATTTGACAGGAAGGAAGTATGAAATTCCTGAAATATTTTAAAGACACAGATATTTCCTGCAAAAAAGAGTCTTTTCTATATCATTCCGGTTTTCCTATAACGGGTGATTCAAAGCGAGGCTTTATAATGTTCCTTTTAACCGATCTGGCCCTGAAAAATGTTGAAATTTTCAATTTTTTAATGACTAAGAATTCAAGATTATGTTCGGTTCCGGAAGCATAAACTATCTAGAACATATGACAGGAAGGATGATGTTGCTCAAATAAGAGCAAGATACAATTTCAAGACAGAGATATTTCCTGAAAAATTTAGTATTTTCTATATCATTCCGGTTTCCCTATAACTGGTGAGTCAAAACGAGACTTTACAATGTTCCTTCTAAGCGATCTGGCTCTGAAAAAAATATATTTCCTTTGTTTTTATTAAATATATATTCAAATTTTCCAGTTTTTCGGATAACATACATTTCCGGTCAGACCCAGTCCAGCAGGCATCTGGTATAACGTAGCTCATCTTTCATAAATTTACATACATGTATAACAAATATGTATGTATATAAAAAGCCCAAAAGTATGCTCTACAGCTGTTGAGCAGCACATCCGGTTCAAAAACCTAAACACTGGCTTAAGCAAATTTATTTGCCAATTTTTTTGTTGAAAAAATTTGATATTATTCTGGTATATTTATCACGAACGAAAAAACGGAATTTTTTATAATTTCAAAAAGTGTATTCAAACCTGGAACTTCAGGTTTTAGTTTGAAATAAACCATCGGCAAGCGAACACCATTTCGAATCATGAGCGCTTAGTGTTCTAGACGAGTTTTTAATAATGTTAATCAAATATACGAGGTGTGTTCAAAAAGTAAGGTGACTCTTCAAATTTCGCGAATTTCAAATTTTTCGATTATCGAAACCTTTTAGAAGTTATACGAGGTGTGTTCAAAAAGTAAGGTGACTTTTCAAATTTTTCGATTATCTTCAGTTTTGGGAACAAGAAAAAGTCACATGGGGCCAAATCCGGTGAATATGGTGGCTGAGGCATTATTGTGGTGTTGTTTTTGGCCAAAAAATCCAAATCCTTTGATCCATATTTTTCGATAGCAAAAAATCGCCGAGCTCGCAAAATAACTTGTAACTTTACGCCTCTCACAACCAAACAAAAGAGGATGTTCCATTGAAACTTGGTACAGATGTTAGGGAAGAGTGTACCAATATAACAAAACAAAAAAATCGATAATCGAAAAATTTGAAATTCGCGAAATTTGAAGAGTCACCTTACTTTTTGAACACACCTCGTATATATCGTATTATATATTTCTTTTACGAAAACTAATCAGCATAATCCAAGTAAAACCCTTTAAAAAGTAGAAAATTATTTTAAACGGTAGTCATATAGAAGTGAAAACTCATTACTTTGAAGCCTAGCCAACTTGTAAAATAAGTTCTAACTAAATCGATAATCTTTCAAGAATTGAAGGACTAACTGAAAACTTTGATTAGCCTGCCTAAAACGGCCGTGTTTTGGGAACCACCGGGATTCCTCGTCTATCCGTTTCGACCACATCCACATTCCTCCCGCCTGTTTGTTTCATTAAACTGCATAATTCAAGCAAGTTTCCAGAAAAGCCGCAAAAGGCCAAGAGTGAGAAGCGAAACTGCATAACTTTGGCCATACTTCAGTTGCATTGCGTGTAATATTTAATTATAAGACAAGCCGCCCCCGACCGACGCTTTCCGCGAGCAGTGCAACTTTACGGCACTTGCCAATTGCACTTTGGTGGCAGCCGCCTCCTTGGGGGTGGCATAAACGTCTTGAGAGGGCATAAAATATTTAATTGTGTCACGTAACTTTCTGCCAACTGACTGGCGTACAGATAGATGCCATCCCCTATATACTTCACTTGCAGAACAGTATGCATTACAATTTTAATTCCTGAACCGGCGGGGAAAATGAGATTACCAGAACGTCAAGTGTTGAAACAAAATTATCTGAGTAATCTTGTATGACGATTACCATATGAAATATACAGCTTTATTCATTTGCTTTACTCCGTTTTTAATACAATGACGTAATTAGTTTATACTTTCATATAAAAAAAATATATGAGTGAAGTGTGAAATTTTCAGCCTGGCTCATTCAGATTTCAATTTCCAATTACTCAATGCGATTAAAATCCGCGTTCAGTTTTCCGTAATTCGTTACTTTTACAACTATGCTGAGCAGAGAGTTTCTTCAGATGCAGTTAAGTTTTTGCTTTAAGTCGAGTCTTTGTATTTCGTATGATGCGAATTCATTTGCCATTCCTTAGAGGATACACACACATAATATATAATTTCTAGATCTGGGCTGCTCCTCGTAATGGTGTTGTGTAAATTAAAATGCAAACAGCTAGACATTAACTTTGCGTTAGAGCTGCGCGATACCAAAACGCGGCGACAACAACAAAACGGGATCGTAAAATAATTTAATGGTTAAATTAGGAATATATATGGGCTTAGGGCAGCGTGTAGCGGACATAGGGTACCTCCACATCCTCGCCATCGACGTCATTGCAGCAGATCTCAAAAACAAGGGACCGCTCGTGCGATTCGAGACGGCGCTTGGACACGCGACGCACTACCTCAGACATGGGCAGCGGCAGACGCTCAGAGCACTTGGCCTTAGGCATAAAGAAGGAGTAAAGCATAGAAACGCCCTGGGACAGCATTGTGATCTTCAGTTTCTCGTTCTCTTCGAAGTAGTTAAGGAACTCTTGCAGGGAAAGCTCGCCGGTCACCTCGAAACGGTCCCAGAGCGTCCACTCCTTGCCATAGTAGGTGTTCTTGGCAGCGGGCAGAGGCTCCGAGAATGCCATGAAAGGTAGCGCAAGATTGGCAAAGCCGTTCTTGAACTTTTCGAGATCTCGGTGTCCGACAATCAGCTTTATCACCTCGAGCACAGCCAGCCCAGAAAGCACCGACGTGGTGGTGGCAATGGCAGGTATGATCTTGCCTGCAATCAACTTGGATTTGTGGCGATCGGCTGGCGGGATCTTGTAGTTGGCGGCACGCAGGTTTGAGCAAGCCACAATGAAGTCCATGTGCAAGTTGCTGTCGTCATCCTTCTCAAACTCCAGCGGCGTGATATTGGAGGTCTTGTCGGCATTCTTGAGCAGCTCCGTAATGATCTTATCAACACGATCCTGGTCTAATTCGCCATCATCAAAGTTATTAGCCGAGGCGGCGGCAGCTGCCTCATTGGTCTCGATTTTCACACCTGAACGTGGCTTGAACTCTGGCACCTATAAATTTAATATAAGAGATGTTTCCCAAATGATATATTCTCTATGTAACTTACTTTAACCTGTTGCACCAGCTCCGCAATCTTCTCGCGATTACGCACTTGTTCAATGCCATAAACCTCTGCTCTCAGATTGGCTCCAGCGTAGATAAAGTCCAGGTGCATGGGATCGTTGACATCAAAGACCAGGGGGTCAGGACACCGTTTGGGTCCGGACCAAAACGGCTGACCACTGGAGGTGATCTGATCGGGTGGGAAATTAAAAAGCAGCTGCTTGATCTGGTTGACATACTGATCCTCCCAGTAAAGACGGGCCCACTCCACGCAGTGTGCGAAGCTCTTGGGCTTGTCATCGATCAGAGCTTTCTGCAATTTTCAAGAAATTTGGTAAGGTATTACATAAAAATATGGGATTATTCCAGTCTTACCTTGATAGAATCCAGGATCTCCAGGGGCTGTATTCCCGGCAGCTTAGCAATTCGCTCGGTGAACTGAGGATCAGCAATGTACTGAGCAGCGTTTTCTGCCGACTGTTTGAAGACTCCCTCGAAAGCGTCTCGCGCCCACTGCAAAGTGTGCTCTATGGCGTTGGGGAAGTTCTTCAGCGTGCAAATGGGAATGCTCTTCTCGGGCGGATCCTGCGAAGAGCTGTACGACTCGGTGGCGAAGGGCACAATCACCTGGACGTTGCCCAAGGTTCCCAGTGTTCCGGTCTCGACCAGCGGGATGCGGTTGAAGATGCACTTGCGGTCCATATAGATACGAGCATCCACGTTGTCCAGCGCATTGGCTACTCCATCCAGTTTGCCGAAGAAGTCTTCGGAGAATACCTTCTCTGTTTCGGCGCCAACACGCAACTCAAAGGCGGTGACATTCACATCTGGATTCATGCGTTTTATGGCGTCTGCGGCCGTCATAGATTTCGGTTTTTGTACGTCATGCGGCCGGAACAAGAACTGCCGGTTAAGATTCGACTTCTCAATCAGATCCATGTCGGTGACGAAAATCTGACCCTTGCCAGCGCCAAGACCCAGCATTCCAAAGTTTTTCAATAGCTCACAACCAATGGCTCCGGCGCCGACAATAAACCACTTGGAATCGGCCAGCTTCTCCTGGAACTTTTTGCCAAAGATGGCAATCTGGGAATCGTAACGCGAGCCCACGGGCTGGGCATCCTCCTCCGTAACGCCCTCCGTCGGTAAACACTCTAGGGCGTCAAAGTACAACCACTGGAAAATTGGGGTGAACTTTCCACTGCAGGCCTTGAGAACTTCCTGGGCCACAATTCCACCAACCGCTGCATCCAGCGGGCAAGTGTTGCCCGAGCAGATCTTGGCGAATTGAAGCACCAGCTTTTCGTCTACTTCTGCGCTACTGCTGGCCCGGCACACTTCGAGGAAACTGTTGGCGTCCTCCTCGTTCCACGGCCGCGGCAACCCTCCATTGTGGGCCTTGCGGTAGCAGGAGAGTGCACTGAAAGCGACGTGCAACGTAGCTGGGGACTCCAGTTTGGCGAAATCGGAGATCAGGAATTCCGGCTCCTCGGTGGCCTGCGCCAGGGACTTGAAGCTGATCGTCTTAGGCATCTTGACCTGCGTGGCCACTCCGCCGCTCTTATATTCTCCAAACTTGCTGGTGTCGCCGATGCTAAAGGTGTACGGTCCCAAAACGGTGATCTTGAGTGGCTGGCAGCCGTTCAGCTCCTGCATGCCCTGCACCTCAGAGAAGGTAACGTAGTCGCCGTCGTTGAAGCCATGTCGCGTCTCGTCCAGGCAGGTAACCACTCCCTGTGCATCGTGCGTTATGCTGGCAATCATGGTGGACACCGGCTGAGTGCCATCCTGGTCGTAGATGGTAAAGTTCTCTCCAAAGTCACAGAATACTTTAGCAAACAATCCGCGAGTCTCAGCGATGATCAGAGCAATGCCATTTTCATGGGCAAACTTGCCGATTCTCTGCTGCTCCTCTGCATCCGAGTTGGTGAGAACCACCACACGGAACTGAAGCAGGAACTCATCGGTGAGTGGTCCCGTGTGCGAAAGAGTGCGCACATAGCTGTTTAACTCGGCCAACTGGGCGCAGGAGGCCTCCGCCCGATTCTTGCCAATGTCAGCCTCCGTGAGATAGAACTGCGATGACAAGTCATGGAGCTGCAAATCAAAAAACCAAAAATTAATATATTGCACAAGTGATGAAATTAACAAAGACTGGAGACTATGACTAACAAAAGAATATCTGTCGAGTTTCCAAGTACACAGTAAAAAAATGCTTATCAGATTGAAAAACTAATTAAATTGATCTTTCAGTATTACTACCGAAGCGAACTATTGGAAAATATGTTCTACACTATTTTTAAAACCCACAACTAATACTCCAAAATTAAAATTTTGTGTAAATTTACAGTAACATTTTTTTTAGTGCATAAAACAATAGCGAATGTGCCGGGCAAAAGGGAATGCAAAAACAATTGCAGACCGCTATGTGCATACGGTGGTCCCGCTCGCACACTTTTTGCATGGCGCAGACATTTTGAGGCAAATAGAAAAAGAAGGAAAACCAAATTACACACACAACACTTTGATTTTTTTTTTTTTTTGAAAGCAAATAGAGATGATAACCTAACCTAATTTCACGACGATTCTAGACAATTTGGTCAAAAAGAAAGAACTCTAAATGAATCATTTAGACCAGGGCTACCAAGTCTACCTTCCCGGGCATTTCCCGCGTCTGCCTGGAAAATTATCGATTTTTTTCATTGCTTCTTCGCCCCCACACACATACCCCACAAGTTGCTGTGTCATGCAGGGTGATCGATTTCACACCGCCTAGAATCACATTCTTGGCAATTTCCAGACCGAGTCCTCCCAGTCCCGACAACAGGATATCCGAATTGGCCATCCGGCGCATAGCATCATGACCCAGGACGTACAATTGGCGCGAGTACAGCGATTCATCGATATCTCCGCCGGCGGCGGCACTGTTTCCAGTCATGTTGCTGCTGCTTCCTTCCAGTTGTCGGTTATTGCTACTGCTGTTATTACTGCTATTGTTGTTGCTGGAGCTGACTTTATTGTTGTTGCTGTTGGTGGTGGATCCACTGGAGGAGGCTTCTTGCGATTCTACTGTGGTGGTGTCCAGGTAATGGCGCTTCTCCGGGCGCTTGCTTCCTTCCTTTTCCACTGCTGACGAGGTACTAACGTCGTCGCCGCTTCCCTGATTCTGTTTCGGTCTCTGCTTTTCGGCCCGCTTCGTCGTCGCATTTACGTCGCATGTGTCAGAGGTGGACGACGATACGCACAATTCCAGCTGGCGCTCACTAGTCGTCTCACTCTGGCACTTACTCGAAATGTCAACGCCGCCTGCTTTGTCGTGATTTTCGCAGTTGTTGCTGCTGCTCGTTGCTCCGCCGGCTTCTTCCTCTTCCATTCGCATCACCCCCTCTCCATCATTCAACAACTCCAATCGCCTTTTTTTTGACACAGGCGAATGGTCAGTGGAACTGCAGGCTGGTGAATCGGCCATCAATTGCTGACCGCTCGACATTGCTATTTTGCTAAAATATTGGCAATCGAATTTCCCAGTTGCGGCTGCACCGCTCGCCCTCTCTCTGTCGCACACACACGCACACTGCTGAACGCTGACACACGCACACGGCAAGACACACAACACGCGAAGGCTATTGGAAGTTTATTTTTTGTGGTTTTAATTTTCTTTCCAGAACGGCGGATCTTGTTTGTGGCGAAATTTCACACAACGAATTCGCAAAAATACAGAACACGCACGATCGAGTTGCAATATGGAATAGTGTGACCGGGTAACCGATATAGTTTTAAACTTAAGTCATGAATATCCTAAAAATCCAGAGGACAACTAGATATGGTAACACCTACCCGCCAACAAATATAAAAAATTATGAAATTTATTTTTTGCGCTTAACTGGCTGCGAACTACTTAAATAAGTGCACGGTAAATAAAAACTCTCTTAAAATTGAGCTTTACTAACTTCAGTATATAAAAATAAATTAATCTTGTCTTGTTATCGTGGTTTTAGACTCAAAAGTGAATATAAATGGTAGAATGACATAAATCTCCTGGTATCTATGAATGAGAACAAGCAAACGATAAGGATATTCTTTGGCTAATCCCATTTTTAGAATTTTCAAATGAACAACAATTAAATTCTTATTTGATGTCGTGATACTCGCCCAATGAGAAACGGTTGGTATGCGACTCCGATAAAAGAAAGCAAGGACTTGATCCCTGAACGGAGGGTAGAAATTTTTTTCACCTTATTTCGCTGATCTGGTAAAACTATCTCTAAAATTAGTGTTGGTAAATGCTACTTTAGCGGGCTTTTTAAATTATTAAAATTTGTTTTAATGTTTATGGTTTTGAGTGAAGATTAAAATGTTATTTTGTCTCCCAAAAAATAAATCATATTTCATCAGAAATTCGATTTATTAAAATCTAATGTTAAATTAAATAAGTGCTAAGTGTTTCACTAAAAACTTTTTTTATAAGTTTTTGCATATCTTTTGTTGTCCTGCGGATAAAAAAAAAACTAAGAAGTAATGTCGAACGTTTTTTTTCAATTTATTAATGTGCTTAGAAAATTTAATTTGTTTTTCCACTTTAGTTTCCCTGAGTTCCTAACCCATGAGCTCTAAATTGAAATATATCCTGGAATGGAACTTCCTAGTCATCAATCTGTCGGCACTTGAAGCAATTATCCTTAGGCCGAAAACTCCGATCGTGGCACGCGCCCTTCGGCGATTGTCCAACTATCCAACTGACCCAGAGAGCAAAGTCCTTCTGTGTCCCTTCGTCCTGGCTGGGTTCAATATCCTTTGAGAGCGGCTAATCTATTTTCGGTCGAGGGGTCTCTTTCTGTTCAACCGTAGTCGACCATGAAAATGCGTAAATTTCCACGAAAAACACAGAGCTATTCCAGTTTTCCCCTAGCCGAGCGGGGGTGTCCTTTTCAAGTGTTGAGAGCGTGCCATTAGGGAAAATACGAGGGGCAACAGCTGTGCAGGATCTAAAACCCGGATCTCGTCGCACAGTTGCGTAAAATGCATTTTAATTTACGCCTACAGCTGCGCGAAAAACTGCTCCCGTTTTAGGGAATTTCTCCCTTTTTCGGGGTTCTAATTTTAGTCCGATCTCGATAAAAATGAAAACTAGCCGCGGACTTTATCGCGTGTGGTATGTTTTTCGTCCTTGTCGCGTGGTAAAGCCCGAAAAGACCAGAAATTCTGGACAAATTAGCATACTGATCCTGCATTAAGCGGGGGTGTCTGCTGCCCATCTGTCTCCAAATATCCTGCATCGCGTGCCATTGAATAGATAGGCATTCATATATGCATATATATAGAATGGATTCGGGGAGAGTGGCAAACATTCCAACCTTCCTTAATTAAGCCTCATCACATATGGCATCGCATCATCCCTATGCAAATTTTCGCCCATTAATCAATTTGGAATGTAATTTGAATATGAAAACTCGCTGAAAAAATGGCTGAAACTATTAATTTCTGTGCTGTCAACGGTTTGCAGGGTAGAAATGGTTATTCAAAAAATTGGCAAATGGTTTTGTGTTTTTTTCTATGCTTTGTTGAATTTGCTTAATGATGTTCAGTTTGACTAGTCAATAATTAATTTCAACATAAGAATTTTATTATCTGTTATTGAACGAAAATTCAAACCTTAAGACAGTTAGAAAAACGTGCAACATTCCCTGCATTAACTTCCTTTGTCACTTAGGTGGCATTTTTAATATGCCGCTTCCTTCCAAAAACCGACAATTGTTCCTTAAAACTAACCCCAGATAGCAGAAACTGCTCCTTGTTGACCCATAATAACCAAGGAACTCTCTCCAAACCCAGTGGCTCATATTGCGTCTATCAAGGAGAAAATCTATATCTTTTATGGCGATCAACATCTTCCTTCTATTGCCACTAAATGACGAGCTGTTCCCTCATTTTAATTGTCTGGGAAAATTTATATTATCGCCCAGCCACCATCTATAAGAAGAAAACCAAGAAGGCCCCGGCGTAAATATTAACAGTGAGAAGAACAATTATAGAAGTGTCCCCTTCTGAAAATGTGAAAATACGTTACAAATCCAACGCTTCGGCGACTTGGCTTTTGGCATCCAGCGAGTTGGTCAAGTGGATTGTTGTAGCTGCTGGTCTTCCCCTATTTTTCTTATGTATATTTTGTTTCTGGCCTAAATACGCGCCGCTTTATGCTCACTGAATAACGTGTGAAAGTCGAGGGGAAGGAATTCAGAGCCCAAATGAAAAACCCCGAAGGAAGTGCTGGCTGCAATTTTGATTTGGCCCTGAGGCGATGGCATTGTTGCAGTCGTACGAGGGCGTAGACAGTTGGCCACAGGTGAGTGCGTCTGCTGCCCAGGTAACTGCTAATTGGTTACTCCGATGGAGTTCTACTCTTTACTCTGTACAGAGGAAAAAGTATTGTAATAACCAAAAAACTTGATTCAATTACAAAGAACTTAAAACTTTAATTTTAAGAAAAGAAGAAAGTATATCTATCAGCATATCTTAAATACTTACTTAATCTATGATATTACTACTACTAGACTATTAACCAATATCAAAACGATATAAAGATGATTTTCTTTATCTGTATATAGCAAAGTTCCACCGAATGCAATCAAAATATTTACAAATGCAGTGGAGTGTGAGATCTGCAAGGGAACGCAAGACTTAAAGGTGTGAAAGGACAATGCCTGTGAGCTGTGAGAGCTGTCAGGGAAATGCAAATGCCGCCTTACCTGGATCTCAAGTAACGGGGTATTCAACAATGGAAGGCACGACAAAATATTTTCAACTATTTCGAGTGTCTTTTCCAGCAGAGAAGAGGCCGAGATCCAGGATTTATGTATGTAAATGCCCGTCCAGCACTCAACCCAAAGGGCTGAAAGTCGAAATTAAGTTGTAATCTTTGTAATTTTTGTCACTCCAAGGGGTTGACAGCGGACAGCTGCCTCACTCCTTTTACTTCCCCTAAATTTTCTTCACTTTCTAAGGAGACAGCATAAAGCGACACATTTGTTTTGTAAATATTGCGTTTGTAATTAATGCGCGAATATCGAGAGACACATTACTCAGGTTTTCAGTTTTTTCCTTGTCTCTGGCTGACTGAATTTGCATATGGGCCACGATTGGAGTCATTTTTCAATAGAGAGTCATTTTTCATATAGGCCAAAGGGTTTCACTATTCAAATTTCATTCAACATAGATTAATGAGTTCGGAATTTGCTGTTTGGGAAAATTCAGCAAGTTCAAGGCTAAGTTTTGGTAAATTATGGAAGGAGGGGAAGGCCATTGATTGGTTTGAGATTTCATATTTGAGGAAAGAAGAAAAGATTGACTGTTTAAAGGCCTAAGAACTAACTAAAATCTTTATAAAAGTTAGCTAACAGTGTAACTTATTTTTGAATTTATTTGATATTAATTTTTAAATCTTCTTAAATTGCTACTAAGCGACTTATAAATAATTTTACAAATACAAAAATCTCAAGAAATAGATAGGGTCAGTACTTTATCATTAAAAACTACAGCTTTGATGTATGTACCCACTTATATGCCTAAAAAGTTTCTCACTCCTTCCTCCGAATTTCCCTTCCATTTGATCAAGACATCAAGCAGATTTTACTATAACTTTCCCACTTTGGGACAAACTCATCGAGTGATAAATCAACTGAGAACTTTTCACCATTCAATTTGGCACATGCAAAATCATTTTGCAGAAATTTGTAAACATTTTATTACAACACCCAGCTGCAACCCCTTTTCCTCCTTTTTTTGGCAGCTACTTAAGATGCGACGATTGCATTCAATCGAAACGAGAAGACAATGGGATTTCGCAAAACGGACAGACAGCAGATGATATGTAATCGAGGAATATACCGATTTTAACCCCTTGCTGCCACCACCAATTCCACCGAGGATCGGATGAACTTTGCATACATATAGTATAGATTATGTAAGGAATAACTGAAGTCTCGGTTCGGTTTATTGCCCATGCATAATCCCGTTTAATGTGCTTACTGCGGACAGCATTTGAATAATGCCCAGTTAACGCTATAATGTGCTTAGTCGCTATCTCGAGGTGTGTTAAACACTTCCTGTCTGGGAATCGTGAGTTTGGAAAATCCCGGCATGCCGACTTTAATGTCTTTCTGATACTCTGCCTCAACCGCCTCCCCAAAAATGTTGCAACATTTTTATTGAGCTCGTCGCGCAACGAATCCATCAATTTTATTGCCAGCCAGGAATATATATATGTATGTACATATATATATTTTTATTTGCGATCAGCCTTCCGAACAAAAACGACACTTCCTGAAACAAAAGAAGCCAGCCAAGTAAGGAGCTAAAAAAAAAAAAAGAAAAGAATCGTTACAACTGTCGTAAAGTTTTCAATGCAGGCAGCGACTTTAAGCTGCTTATGCCAACGGGGACGAGAAATTCTTATAAAATGTATTATGTGATGGTCGTGCAAAGCAGTTTGCGGTTTATCCTTTCAGCAATAAAAGTATCCGATTACGGAATGCACTGGGAACCAAAACTGAGCCAAGCCAAGCCATCGTCTTCATCGTCCTGTCAGCGCATAGATCAAATGCTAAAGGACCCAGCTGTGCTCGCTGCTCCTGTTCTGTTCTTTTCTGTTCCTGCGCCTTTTAATTAAAGTTTTAAGCCCTTAAATGTTGCTGCCTGGGTAAAACACTGCGACAAGGGCAAGTTAAATGCCAGTCAAAGCGTTGACATGATATCCCCG